CAACCCAACCCATTCTGTGATTCTATGAAATTAGAATGTGCGTTTTTGTAAGTAAAGACAAAATTTTGGCCGTTTTTGTTAACCCCAAGCACCCTCCCGGGAGCAGGGAGGCTGTTTCGTTCAAGAGCCGTGCCCAGGTAGCTGTGTGCCTTGGCGCCCAGCGCAGGCACGAGCGGCCGTCCCTCGGGAGCCACCCGGGTTTTTAAAGCACGAAGTGGAAATGCAGCCACATCGCTGCGTCCCTTGTTTATTTACTGCTCTCGGGTACCGTGCGTGGGTTACTTTCTCTTTTTTAGGGAGGGGCAGTCTTAGAGGGAGGAGTATTAGAAATATGTAATTTAAAAGTTTGAATTGTGAAGGTTGTTATTTCGAGAGGAGTTTCATTGGTAGGGTGTGGAGATTGAATTTCTCGTGGCTTGCATGTGTATCTTGCTAACTCGCAAATCTCCTTGACTTGGAAGGGACCTGAAGGTTTTGTGGAAACTCAGAAGTTTTTTGTCTCTATTCTATCACCATAAACAATTCTATTTTTAAGATACTACTTGACAAAGTAGGTGTTGTAATGATTTAAAAACATTTAGCGTGCGCTCACAGTCGTACTACTGACCTCCTGACCGCGCCACTTCAGGTTACAAGTTCTGTCTGTTTTTTCTTTTGTGAAACCCCATTACAGTGTTAAATTAAACCCCATCAAGGTGTGGAATCGGAGCGTTTAGCCGCTGTGTATTTGGCCTGTCATCTGTTAAATGACCAGGAGATCTCTGCTGGTGCAGGAACACTCAGCAGCCCTCAGCGCTGGCAGCTTCGCGGGGCTGCTCTCGCCCCGCTGCGTGCTCTTGCCCCGCTGACCGGCTTCTCCCTGCCAAACACCACTTGCATTGCGTGGGCCGGGCTGTGAATTAAGGAGATAATTGAATTACGGACTGATGGAGAGCTGGTGTTTCATGTTGCAAGAGTTTTTGTGAAGTTCCCAGTTTGAGAATCCATCCTTATGGTGAACTGAGATCTCCAGTGAAATGAAAAATATGTATTTTTATAAGTATGGGCGTACTGTGTGTGAGTTAGAGCGTACTGTGTGTGTGTTAGACTACAAGTTCTCCATTCACACCACCGGTATGGTGAGTAAAGGAGGTTTTTCGGCTTGACGTGATGCTGTTCTTTCCAACACTGAATAAATATTTCCATTTCTGTTCAGACTTCTCTTTTGACCTCTGTGTGGAGCCTTGTCTGTGAAAGGGGGGAGCAGAGTTCATATAGCCTGGAAATGATTTAAATTACTGATTTTACTGGTTAAATCGGAAAGCAAGAAACCTTTATTTAAAGCATGATCTTTTCTCTGCTAGGTATTTGTGCCCTTCGGATTTTTCCTGTACCTATAACCAGTTCTCGTTACAGGGTGCAGATCTTACCAGATACAGCTTTTAGACTAAATCTGCAGCATGCTTTTTTCACAGCTCAAGTAGCTGCTGTCTGTTTAAACACTTACATAGCTAATGTATATAATTCAAAATGTTAATGTTTAATTTTCAAAATTGACAACTAGTGCAATTCTCTACCAGCTTGTTTTGTTGTTTTGTGGTTTTGGTTTTTTTTTCCCTTCACTGTGAATAGTGTCCACCAGTTTTCCAGGTCTTACTCTAAAACATCTAAAATGCATCCTAATCCTTAAAATACTTAAAGTATTGAGTAACTGGGAAGAGAAAACTTTCGTCAAATTGTTTTGCATTTAAAAATCAACTGCCTTTTATTAGCAAAGGAAGTCTTGGCAGTTTGTATTGATGAACCAAGGTGCTCGGTGCTAAATTTTAAGCCTCTAAAAAATCCTCACTTTTTTTGTGTGTGTGAGGGATCTGAATTTTTGAACTGCTGACCTGGCCATGCTGCAGCAGAGTTAACATTCGGTTTCATGACAGTGAAAGGCTTCGTATCTTGTGTTACCCATCTTTTAATAAAGGGTGGGGTGAGGCTGTTCGATGTTGGGAAGCAGAATCAGGGTTTTCAGAACTGGGGTGGTGCTTTGGGTTTGGGCAGGCACCCAGCCTGAGGTGGCCACGGGAGCAGGAGGTTGAGGGCAGCCTGGGCCGTGTCCCAGCGCCGTGTCGGGGCCCAGGGGCCAGCTCCCCCCTCCTGGGCACCCGGGGCACCCCGGGGCACCAGGCAGTAAGGCAGCTGGAGCCTGTGCCCCCACCCAGGCGGTTTCTATCAGTGGGTGCTAATTTTGGTACCTTTTGTGTCTCACGTCCCCCAGCAAATCCCTGGGGGAGCTGCTGCCCAGCACCCCGACCTGGGGCACGGCCACTGCCCCGGGACAGCCCGACCCGGGAGCTTCTGCTCCCGCCTGCTGTACCGTTCGTGGTGTCTGCTTTTTTTTGCTTTGTAGAAACCTTTTCTGCTTTTGGTGTCTTCATTCCGTAGGCTTTATCTGTGGTTATGTGCGTGATGAATCCCCTCTGCTTCCGGGGGTGAAAGATGTGGCTCATGTACACACTCTCCTGCCTTTCCCTGCCTAAGTGATAGGGAAGATAAACCTTTATTTTCCATCAATTCTGTCTTCTTAGAATTGTAGAACCACTTAGATTGGAAAAGACCTTCAAGATCATCGAGCCCAACCGTTAACCCAGCGCTGCCAGGGCCACCACTAACCCCTGTCCCTCAGCCCCACAGCTCCACGTACCCCCTCCAGGGACGGTGACTCCACCACCTCCCCGGGCAGCCCCTTCCAGTGCCTGACAACCCTTCTGGTGAAGAAATTTTTCCTCCTGTCCAATTTAAACCTCCCTTGGTGCAACTTGGGGCCATCCCCTCTTGACCTGTCACTTGTTACTTGGGAGAAGAGTCTGACCCCACCTCACCACAACCTCCTCTCAGGCAGTTGCAGAGCGATCAGGTCTCCCCTCAGCCTCCTCTTCTCCAGGTTGAACACCCCCAGTTCCCTCAGCCGCTCCTCACAGACCTGCTCTCCAGACCCTTCCGCAGCTTTGCTGCCCTTCTCTGCACCCGCTCCAGCACCTCGATGTTGTGAAGGGCCCCAAAACTGCACCCAGCATTCGAGGTGCAGCCTCACCAGTGCCGTGTCCAGGGGGATGATCCCCTCCCTGGTCCTGCTGGCCACACCATTGCCGATACAACATTAAAAACTTAAGCATGTTGACAGTGGTTTGTGTCGCTTTATTGTAAAGAGAGACAGGTCTGGGCTGCGGTGGGGTCTAGATGACACAGATACGCGGGTAGTTCTGGTGTTTGTACAAAGAGGGTCATGCATTCATTTCACACACATGAATGTTTCTTTATTTTCCTTTTTCTTACAGTTCTCTACATCCAATGATTTTCTTCATTCTCCAAAGTTAAGGCCCTCTCAAGGAGTACCAGTCAGTGATGAGTTATTTTTTAGTAGAAAAAGAGCTTCAAGGAATTTATTTCAGAATAGTATAGATTTTAACTCTGAGCATTCTTCTGTCTGTGCAGGTAAGTGTTAACACAGAAAAGTGTTTCGTCTGCTGTTTACAAAATAGATTTAGAACCACCTGAGCATAAATTTGTTGCTTCATGAGCATGATTTCCCATTTGTGGATTGTTTCTTTTGTTACTTATTTTTGTTTACTATGAAGAATTGAGTACTGGGCACAGGGCTGCGCCTCCAGCTGAAGCAAGCAGCAGCAGTCCCAGCCGTGCTGCTGGAGAAGTGCATGCCACCTCAGATTTTAGGCTGCTGTTTGCCAGTCACACAGGTTTTCACTGGTTGAGTTAGACTCAAGGGAGTTTATAGATGAGCTTTGTTTGAAGACAGCAAGACCAAAAAGAAATAGTGGGGCTGAGCGAACAGACGCATGGAACAAAAGGACTCGCGATACGGAGCTTTCTGGTGCTTTTGCAGAATGGGGAGAGAGAAGTTAGATCAGCAACAGGGTAATTCAGGACTGTAAAGTATGAATTGCAGATAAAGCAGTAAATGGAAAGGAGACACAGAGTTTTACTGACTTCTGATCAGGAATAGGTTGTTGGCTAGGATAGCTGCTGTTATGGTAAAAGGTGGGCTGCCGAGAGTTGGCCGATCGTGGCAGCAGGGTGTGAAATACTAAACCCTGAGCAGGGCACCATGTCGGGCAGGCCGTGTCTCTGTATGGTAGGCTGCTCAGAAGAGCAGATCCCTGCATACCTGTTGTAGATCTGCGTATTTTCTCTTTTTGCTTTGCGTACGTAGCTAGGGGGGAAAGCTGTCTGAAGAGTGAGCTCTCGAGGGGGAAAAACGTCATGTTTTTGAGAACCAGGTCTGTAGAAGATTGTAGATATCGTGCTCCACTTAACATACACTAGCAATGTAGACTCAGTGATTTGTATTTTAATAGCCAAAAGGCATGTGAAAACCCTAGGCAAGACCAGGCCTGATTTATTCTCTCCCCTTGGCAGTAGGTTGTGTTCCCGGCTTTGTCTGCGGCGGAGCGCTGCCACGCCTGGCGTGCCAAGTTTGCTCACTGGTGTGCCGGGAGTGACAGCGCTCTAAAGAGACGCTGGCTTTCTGGGGTTTAAGATGTTGTCTTCCCTTTATTGTCATATGTTCAAAGGAGGGATCGTTCTGGGTTTTTCTTTTGACCCCCTACAATTCTCAGTTGGAAAAGCGCCCCGGAAGAACGGCCAGCCATTTTTCCAGTTTGTGCCTGTGAACAGTATGATGAGGTTGCTTAGGAACTCTTGAATTAAATACTTCGAAAGTAGTTATATTTTACACTGAAAATTAGACAAAGGGTCTTAATTCACTATTAAATATTATTGTGTGTTTGTTGCTGAGTACCATACGTTAGGTATTTATCTAGTTCTTTGTGTTTTTCTTTTGAAAGGTGCTATGGGCTCTCATCAGCCGCAGATTTCAGGGAAATGTGGAACACTTGGATACACACAGACACGTGGGAGGAGCAGTAGTGTGGACTCAGATTTACAGTTTTTAGGATTAAATAACTGTCAGCAAGAAAAAGGTACGTGGATTCTATCTGTATCGTAAGTCAGTGCGTGTTACTTTGGAAAGGGCTCCGCATTTCTGCTGCCTTAAGAAATAAAACACCATTACAGCAACGATCAGTCCCTGTTCAGACGTATTTGTGCCTCCCTCCCGTGTGGTGCTTTTCGTTTGTGCTTACTGATTTGCAGCCCACCCCTTGGTATCTGACTGTCTCGGTGGGCTGCCTAAAAGGTGGTGCTGTGGCAGAACCTGAACTGCTTTTTCCAAACTGATTTTTAGAGTTCCCTTAACGGTTCAGCTCAGACCACTCCAGCCTGCTTAGCAGCCAGGGCCAGGTCTGAGCCTGGCCCCGCCGAGGCTGCCTGACACGGTCCTGCCTGAGGTGGGGGGCACTGCCGGGGTGTCTCAGTGGGAGCGTGGGCGGGAGGAGGCCGGGGCTGCTCCGTTCTGCTGGGTGGAGGTGACCGCGGTGTGCCGCTGGGACGCCGGGGGGTGCCTGGAAAGCTGCTGGTTCTCACGGTGCTGCTTGAATTGGTGGTGGTCTCTGTAGTGCTTTTGCTGGGCGGCTGCCCTGTCAGCTGTGCTGCTAGCTCCAGAAGCGGGGCCGGGGGTTGGACCGAGTGCGCCTTAACCCTGGAGCTGGAGGCTGGGCTGAATCAGGACCGGTGACACGTATAAACTTGCCTGTTCACGAGCAGCAGCAAGAATAAAACTGCCAGATGTGCACGTAGGGAAGGAATAAACTCCCCGTCTGGAGGAACAGGCGGCAGTGACGCAAAATCTGTGACAGAGCTGCTCTGAGCGGTCCGGATGCCTCGGACAAGGGGTAGCGCTGACAGCCATCCCAGAAGATACGTAGGGACGTTGTTTACTTCCAGTTGCTGGCGGGCTCTAGACACTGTGTTTTTCTCATGCCTGCGGGAAGAAAGCAGAAATTTCCTCTTTGTTTGTTGCCTCTGTAACTACAAAGTCAGTGTTCTCTTCTCTCAGCCTCTGTCTTCAGAAGGTACTTTGCCCACACCTGCTGATTTATTTCTCTGCAAACAGTTTTTGTGCCCGATGTTACAGTTACTCGAGCCTTTCTCCAGTGGTACAACCCACACCTGGCTTGTCTCAGGTTTGCTGCCCCGGGATACCTGGGGAGCGCTGGGATGCTGCAGCCTTGGAAAGCAGCAGGAGCAGAAGACAGAGACCTTGGAGCGATTGGATTTGTAAAGGGATTTTTTTATGCTCTAACTAAAGGCACCATTGAATGGTTTTCCTTGGAGTGACACAGACGAGCAGGAGGTTCTCCGAGCCTGACTCACGTTGTCACTTGTTCTCGCTCCCGGGCTGTGCTCTCCCGTTCTCCCAGTTGTGCCGGCGGAATCGTCTGTGGGGCTGTTCTCTCAACAAGGTTGCTGGGGTGGCCCAACGCACCACGGTCCTGACTTCAGCTTTGTTCAAACTTGTCCCCTTTGTCACTTGCGTGGCTAAAAGCTTGAGTGTGTGGGGAGAGCATGCACCTGCTTTTCATGGGAGCCAACTGAAACAGCCTGGTTCCGGATCTACACCTATATTTCCATTTCTGGCCTACAGGTTTCTGGGAAAAAATGATTTGGGTTTTTTTTTTTTTTTCAAAGGAAGTAGAATTTATAACATTTGTGCTTCATTTGTACTCTTCTGTCACTGAGTTTTGAGAGTGCTGTTAGCAAATTTTGTGCTCTGCAGGCTTGGAACACGGAGCAGTGGGCAACAGCACCACGTTCAATCTACTTGCATCGTTTGGTTTTTTTTTAAATATAGTTCTCCAAACCATGACTGCGGAATAGCTTAGGCTTAAACTCGTTGGATCAAATGCGTTAAAGGAAGTTGGTATTTTGAGGGACAATGCGATCTGCAGAATGAAGCTGGCTGCTGTGTCTGTCTGCTTGGGTAAAATGCTGACCTTCGGTTTTTAGCTGCCTAGGTGGTGCCTTATTTCATTGTAAATTATTATTATAAGAGCTGTCAAAGAAGCTAGTTACCACAAATGCTGTTCTCTCTTTCTTTGCTCAGTTTGTGCCAGCCTAAATTTTTCCAGCAAGAGAAGCTTTTGCAATCGAGCAGAGCACACGGTGTCCTTGCAAGGCCCTGCCACAAGCCAGGGCGCCTTCATTCTGCCATCTTACCCGCTGTCGTCACCCAGGAGCAGCCCGAAGCACGTCTCCCCTCCAGCTGACTCTCCAAAGAAGTCACAAGATACTACCATGAACCTCTCAAACTCCTGGCCTCTTAAGAGCTTTGAAGGCCTGCCGAAGCCTAGTTCACAGAAGCAGCTCCTCGGTCAAAAGTCAGGAGACAATACAGGTAGGAATGTCGTCCGTATGATGAAGAGAGGTTTCAGGGTGGTGTTTTGGGTGGCTTCGAGCAGTAGTCATAAGGCCAGCAGTGGCAGGTCAGGGGGGGATTGCTGCCCCAGTTGCAATTAGAGATGTGGGGGTTTATGGCTTCGCCAGTCTGGTCACAGCACTGGAGTGGAAAAGTGAAGTCTTTGTGCTTTGGTAGTTTTAAATGCTGGCATAGTTTTTTCCCTTTTGTCTTTTAAATATGTGAGATAAAGCATAATATGCACCAGCTCTGCTGCTCTTATCAGTAAGGTGTCAGTGAAAAGTTTGCCTTCCAGCTGAAATAAAACCAAAGCCCCAAATCTAGCACTTTCAAAGAAAGCCAATACAGAGATAACTGTTACTTTTAATACTCTTAAGTAATACACATGCAGGAAAGTATTATTAATTGCATTTTCCCTTTTTGCCTCTTTATTTGCCTTTGGAAACTTCTGTGTCGCATTTCCCCCACTCAGAATAGCTCTCTCAAACCTGGTTACAAGAGCTGCATCCCTGATGAGCTGATTTCATCCCAGTTTACGCTGACAGCTAATGGCAGAGGCTGCTCTTTACGGTCTGGTTTCCTGTCTTTGAAGGTCTCATGCACACATTGGTTAGCCTGAAATATTTTTGAGTTTATTTAATTAGAGTTGCGTAAACAATTTAGCTGATTTCTTTCAAATACTTACTAAAGGCAATCTTATTCTAGGTTAAAAGAGGCTTATTATCTGTTCAGCTTAAATTGATTCCTAATTACTCCTGAGGCAGGGCTTCTGTAAGCAAAGTATCAGCTTCCATGTAAAATTTTGCACTGGTTTAAAGAAATCTTTTTTAAATTTCATCTTCGTTGAGATCCATATTTTTGTGCATATGTAGAAAATTTCTGAACTAATGCTTTGGAAGTCACCTGTCCCTGGAATGCACGTAACTTTATCTTGTAGGTGCGTGTTCATCCCTTGCTGATGCTCTGTGTATTGCCTGTATGCATTTCGGGTTTTACTGTTGCTCTGGTGTAACTATGTTGTTGTTACAGCAGCTTACAGGAGAGTTTGTTCGGGTACTGGTCTTTTTTTTCTTAATTAAGAAAGTTAAGTTCATTTTAAAGATACTAAGTATGTGCAGTAACGTATAATTTTTTACAAGGAGACACTAAATGTAGGAGAGATTGGTAAATGTGCTTGAAATGCAGGGGGATGGGGAAGGTAGAGTCAGGAGGCGATAGAAGATACCGTGCAAAGAGGCCAGTCTGGTAATGACCCTAATGGTTTTGTAAAATTAAATACTGAAAAACGTGTGTGAGTAGGTGTTCGGGAATGGGGGTTTGGCGCGTTTGGAAAATTGATGTTGGAGAAGAAATATTGAAAGTTTTTCAAATAAAAAAATGGTAGAAAAATAGTGAGGTGGGAATCACTCTCTGCTCTTGTTCATGTGAGAAGCTTCCTTTCATCTGTGTGTGTATGTTCGTACACGTGCCTAGGTGAAGGAACCAAGGAAGGGGTTTGGTGCTGGAACCATCAGGTTTTAGGTGGAAGGAAGCACTCTTCCAGTGCTCATTGTGGGGCCGGAGGCTGCTGGAGACGCCAGCAGCAAGAATTTATTGGTGCAGGAGGTGGAGATGTGTCCCAGGGCGGGGGTCAGCTCGGGTCACACCTCTGACCGAGGAGGTTCCTCGATCCCCTTGACTGCTCCTCAGTGTCGGTTCCTTCCCTCGCCAGGGGACAGGCCTTTCCCCCGGCTCGCTGCCGCTGTTCTTCTGCTCTTGCTGGTTTTTCAAATCAAATTTGCTCCTACTCAGCCAAACAAAATGTCCTTGAAATGCGTTTACAATAGTAAATAAAATTGTGTGTGTAAGTATGATTTTTGACACTCACCTCATGGTAAAAGGAGTTTTCTGGTGTGGTACAGAAATGAGACACGGAGTTTATTCTGGTCAGTGCTGTGTCCTGCTGTCCCTCCAGAGGACTGACCTCTGCTTGTGCCTTCTTCAGGGGAGAATTTGCAGGAGAAACATTCCCCTCTCCAGCTGAAACCCGCCCTGATGAGACACCCAGCCTCCTGCAGGGGCCTGAACGGGACCAGACCCGTCCCCCCCATACCCCGCCTCGCTAGCCCGCTGCCCGATAAGGTGGAATTAAGTGTGACCAAGTGGAGAAACGAGGAGTGCGAGGACACGTGGCTGAACGAAGTGGAGAGGAAGCTTGCAGCTGATCTTGCAGAGCTAAATGTTGATGATGAGGAGGAAGTGGACCAAGAAGAGGTTGGTTTAAATCTGACATAACACACTTTGAAGATCTGATGTATTGTAACCTTTTTTTTTTCTACACAAGAGCCAGAAAATAATGTTTCTGGCGTAAATGTTGTGACAGTGTCATCAGTACAGCAGGTTTTCGACGAGATACCGTTGGGTGTCTGATAGAAGCTAAGTAAAGCAGTCAGTACCAGTGGTGAAGCACCCTCCCCATGTTTGTTCCAGACATCTTAATTTCCTTGTTTTTCTCGGAGCCAAAGCCGTCATGTTTTCATTATCGTAGTACCAAGGCAGCTCTGCGGGCCCTTATACAGCTTCTGCTCCCGTTATCTTGACTTCATTTTAAATTCCGTGCCAGATTTAAGTAATAATATTCTCCTTAGTTGTAGCAAAAGGCCCAAAATAACGAATAACTTCTTTGATGAAGGTTCATTGACTCAGCTGGGAGTTTCCTCAGCCTCCCGGGTTTGCTGACCCTGAGGCCCTGGCAGCGTGTCCCAGCTCTCGCAGAATCTGGTCGTTTTCTCATGGAGTAAAATGAGACCAACTGGTGCAAAGCTGGGTGAAGGTGGCGTCACCTGCAGCTGTTTGACATGCCACAGGCACATTTGGCATTAGGCTTGGCAGGTCAGCACCCCTCCTCGACGTGGAAACCCCCTAGTAATAATTTGGGGCAACTGTGTGTATTCCGTGGCCAGTGTTTTCAGCGTGCCCCAGCCTGTGCCTTGCAGAGTGTTTGGGGATTTCGTACCTTTAAAAATACACACCTTCTGTGACCCGTGAGACTGGCTGGACGGACTTTTCCTAGCACCTGCCTCGCCCGTTCCGTGGAAGGCTGGCGGCCAGCGTGGCTGTCGGTCCCGCGTGGCGGGTTGTCCGGTGGGATCCCCCGGAGGGTGGGAGCCTGTGCGTGTGCCGGCCCCCGCCGCTGCGCCCAGGAGGCGCTGGAGGATCCTGTCCCTCGCTCTGTTGCTCAGTTCTCTCCGATGTTTGGGCAACACCAGATAGCTGTGCCAGTCTAGGACGCAGCAGAGCGCTGCGGAGGCGTGCTGGGTGGTTTCCAGGGGCGGTGGGGAGGTGGAACTGTATCCCCGGTATCCTCATCAGTACAAGTCGGAACCGTTGCAGCGCTGATGACGTGAGAAGCGCGAGTATCGTGCGTGGCTGGGTTTTGTATGGCCTTCCCTGCAGGATCCCGTGCAACACGTGGTTATTTCTGTCGCGGCTCATGGCGGTTGTTTGAATCTCCGGTCCTGTCTTTAGGCGCTGTGGACCCGAGAGCAGCTGCAGTAGGACGTAGTGGCTGTGCCTCACTGTCTGCATCTTCCATCCTCTAGTCACTACCCAAAGTGACCGGAGGTGGTGAACAGACAGAGGAAGGATTTCTTTTACATCAAATACGTTCAGCCAAAAGAGGAGAGGACACGCAGCAGCGTGAAGCTCTAGTCATCGCAGATTTTCACGCTTGTTTGAGTAGGAGCTCTGCTGGCTGGGTGCAGTTTTCAGGATTCACTTGTGCGTGTTTTGCAGGTTTGTGCAGTTCTGATGTGAAGAGCCCGAGGTCCCAGTTGTCTGTACTAACAGCTGACAAACGCTTCCTTCACTCTACTGAAAGAGATAGGAGCAGCTGATGGATTTCTGCAGGAATCTGTTCTTTGCCGAATGAAGCCAGGCTACAATGTCGCTGTGAACAATGTGCATTTACTTGCAGGATAATTATTCCTGTGCAGTAAAACAATGAAAGGGATCATTGCAGGGCCACACATACGTACGTGGGTCAGTCACACCGCCCCGTGGAGGCACGTGCACTGAACTCCCGTGAGCTGAGCACTCGGAAACTTTGCTTAAAAAAGCTTTTTTCTCACACAGCGTATAAAACCTGTCATTTTGTTTTCGATCCTGTTTAGATGCAGAATTCCCTTAGATCTCTACGGAACAGTGCAGCTAAGAAGAGGGCAAAGCTAAGCAGCAACATTTCAGATCTTGAGAGTCCCGATTCTGCTCTGAAACTGGATCTGTCCGGGGACTCCCCCTCCCACGCTTCCTCCCCCAGCACGGGCTCCTACGGTGAAAGCGGCATTTACAGCCAGGAGTCTCTGACCTCACCCGTGTCCACAGGCCCCCAGCGAAGGAGAGCAAAGTGAGTGGAACCCGTGTGTTAACGCTGCCTTGAAGTTCTCACCCCAGTCTCTGCTGGTGCTCGGTAAATGGTAAAGGGGGAGAAACCCGCAGTGTGTTTTTTATGTAAGATTGCTTTGCTTAACAACTTGATTTCTACAGTGGATCATTTTCCTATCTAAAAATACATTGCTCTACACAGTAGCTGCTTAATTATATTGTTGTAGCTTGTGCTGGCTTTTAGTTCGACAGCGTTCCCTGGTGCAGCCGCAGTAACGCAGGGCAGTGAAGTATTGCCAGGGGTGGTAAATATTTTATTAAGACTTTAGCCTACCATAGAAGGTATGTGACCCGTAGCCTAAACAAATGGGTAAGGAGGAGAAGAGTTAAGAGGAAGGATAAGGTTTACTTATTATAGCCTGGGAGCTGAAGAAGGGATGGGTTGGTTTTTTGCAGTAAGAGGAAGACGATGTAGATGTTTCTTCTTACTGCAACTCATGAACTGTTCCCATTTTATCACTGGCAGACTTAATTTAAAACGCCCTAACAGAGCTCTTCTAAAAAGAAATTGTGTGACCACACATGCTACTCTGATTGTAAAAAAGCAGTGACCCAGTTTGGTTATAAGCAGTATAAATATTTTATTTTTTAATGAACTAAAAAAAAGGTTTTGGGGAATTTGGCAAATGTCGCAGCACAGACTCTCCTTTTCTGCTCTTGGAGCCCATGATAAAGCTGCTTGTAGCTCTGAGGATAACTTTTAATTTTCTGTGTAGTAAATGCATCTGTACGTGACTGGCATACAACTGTATTAACAGAATAAAAAGGAAGAGAGGGGATATACAAAAGAAAAATTTTTGAGACAGAGGAGGCCTGGAATGATTCAGAAACAGAGGGTTTCCTCAGTTACACAGTCTCAGGACTGATTTGTATGGACCCGTCTTCCCTGTGTGCTTTACTGCTG